TTTTTTTTTTTTTTTTTTTTTTTTTGTACCAGGGATTGAACCCAGGGCACTTAACTACTGAGCCACATCCCCAGCCTTTTTAAATATTTTATTTAGAAGCTGGGTCTCACTAAGTTGCTTAAGGCCTTGCTTAATTGCTGAGGCTGGCTTTAAACTCAAGATCCCCCTGCCTCAGCCTCCGGAGCTGCTTGGATTACAGGCGTGTGCCACTGCACCCAGCCATAAGAATTTTTTGATTTTCAGAGATGCCAGATTTTGAAACTATTGTAGGGAGTTAGAGCATTCTACTTGTAAGCATTCYGTCTCCTGGGTGTGTTTCTTTGTCTACATGTTCATAATACTTTACAGATTAATATTTATTATTTCCATGTGTCATTTTAATACATGTCTTTTGAATCTATGAATTTGTTTTGCTTCAGAGGCCCATAAATTGGATATAAAGAAATGAGAATGGAATGGCATGAAGGGGCTTTGTAGTAGATGAATTTTGAGGGTATTTCACAGGAATTGCCCAGGAAAAYAAGCAGGAGTATGTTCTGAAATGCCCTTATTGCTTCTGAAATAATCTTGACTTTCTAGGGTGTGTTCAATTTCATGTTTGTGAAAGAGGCTTTAATGAAGGCAATCCAAGTTTTAAATCGTCCAACAAGACATTTCTGTTTTGGCTTAGTGGAGGCTGTTCTTTTCTGAATAGCTGCATTTTATGAAATCAGGTTAGTGCCAGCCAATTGGACACGATTAAATTGCTTCAAAAGATGTGCTAGAGCACAACGCTCGCTCTCTCATGCTAGCAGAGGCTAGTGGTGCTGCACATGTTCCCAAGACATGTGCTTCCACAGGGGAAATGATTCCTCATTTCTCTGCCACCTTTCCGGTTCAGGATCTACATTGAGATTTGTTGCTAAGTTCTGCCAAAAGAATGCTCGATATGCATTTTCAGCGGGTGCAGTGAAAACATTTTCAAGTCGGTTTCCCTGAAGATTTATCTTCGCAGTCTTGACGTTTCTGGCGTTGCTTTACTTCTCTTTCCATCCCAGCAACGAAGTTCCAGGCGAGGCCACAGGCAGACCCCTGGATCTGTAGGAGCATGTCAGAAGCATTTTAAGAAGAGCCAAATATTTAGAGGAAGAATTTGGAAAAGCAGCCTTAAGGGGTTTAACACATTTTTCTCCTCCTAATTCAGTCCCGTGTTTATCCCCCTCACAGAGAAAGGTCATTAACCGGTAGGATTTGCTAGGTTTGGTTAAGGTTTGTGGAAGTGAAACGGTTTTCTAAAATCTGAGTACATTTAGGGGAGGTGGATTTGCTGTCAATGACACTCATCCATGAACTACATATCTAAATAATCTAATTACATGTAGAGGTTGTGCTGGGTGCTTACACATTTGTATTTTGGAGAAATTAAAACCACTAATTGGCTTAATAATGAGAGGCGCAGTAGCTAGAGAARTTTTGAAGTTCTGTTTAAATTTCTAGGAAGGGCAAAGGATTGCTCAGGATAGCATGACAGAGTTTTGGTTGTTTACTACCAGTTTGCCAGTCTGATAGGCCTGGGTCAAGGTTGCTTACTTTAATTGTTGTGGTGTGTGTGTGGGGGCGCGGAGGGCGGGGGCATTTTATGCTTGTTCCAGACTTGTTACAACTTTACTCTTTTTTTTTTTTTTCCCCACACCAGGGATGGAACCCAGGCGTGCTTTATCTCTGAGCTACCTCCCCATCCCTTTTTCATATTTTATTTGGAGACAGGGTCTTGATGAGTTGCTCAGAGTCTTGTTAAGTTGCTGATGCTGGTTTTGAACCCATGGTCCTCCTGCCTCAACCTCCTGAGATGCTGAGATCACAGGCCTTCGCCTCCATGTCCAGCACGTTCTTACTCTTAAAATTGAAAACCCACAGGCTAATTCTTGTTCTTTGATTGATTTCCTGTCCTTAGCTAATAGGAGGCAGGGAAGTATATGTGTTTKTTGGGGGAGGGGGGATACAAATGCAGGGTTATTGAAATGTGAACTTTTATTTTTCTCTTTAGCTATATTGGGAAAAGGAATATATAGAGTGTTTATAAATTTTCAAAACATTCATCTTTKATGGGCAAATACTTCATTTCATATCAGCTACTGATTAATCTTTAGATGTTGATTTGACTTTGATTTCAGAGTATTTTAGAAACATTATCTTATTAACTTCTTATAAAGATCTCTTTTGGGGGGAATCTGTTTTTAAATCTGATTTCATTGTACATTTTTTTTTTTTTTGGTTAAATGGAAAGATCTTATTTATCCTTTGATAAGATGATAGGTATTCATTTCTTTGTCTACTCTGTGGATGAAACCTACATAGTATTGTATACGTTAATGTTTTTGAAATTAGAAAGTCAAATGCTCTAAAAAGAGGTTAAGGAAATAAAATGCTGTAATATATTTCTTTTTCAGAATTATTTCTCATTTTATGGTTGACAATTCTTAAATGTATGTATGAATGTTATGAAATTGATTTTAATATTTAAGACTTTTTTATTCATAGGATTAAATATAATGGATATGGCAAAATTTACAAAAATAAGATTGTTTGAAGATGGTGAGACAAATAATTAGATTTTCCAAGGATCTGAATAGAGATATTTAAAATTAAATCCCTTTCAGTGAGGCCAGCATAGTGCCCTCTACAGGGTGATGTGCAGTAGTCACCTAGTACACTGATGTGATCTCAGCTTTGTCCCTGCTGGGTATGAAGGTAAAGACTGGGACATTCAGAGTGTGTAAACAAGGCCTCTGGGTTAATAAATGGCTTATGTGTGGCATTGATCAGATAAGGTGTAAAGGCTGAGACGGGGGCTAATGCTGTCTTCATTGTCCTTTCAGCAAGAAGGTCACCCTCTCAGCGCCATTGACATCAAGAAGTTTCTTAGAGAGCAGTTTCGTTTTTTGTACTAGTTGCTTTCTTTGTGTCCCGTGGTCCGGCTCCGATTACCTTTATGGATCTATAAAAGGGCACTCTTTTCTGGTGTGGCTGCTCTGTCTATTCCAGGAATGACCTTTTAATCACAAACTGTCCTTGCAGAAGGGAGTGGAGATCAGAGTTATCGCAAACGTGATGCGTTAGCTGTCCGTCACTATAATGAAATCCCTGAGGTATTTAACTTATTAGGGGAACAGTTTATTTTGGCTTGCGGTTTTGAAGGTTCCACTCCATGACTGAGTGGACCCATGGCTTTGGGCCTCTGTTATCAGTGCTACKCGGCAATAACAGGGAGTATGTGGCAGCAAAAACTGCCCACTCATGGCCAGGAAGCCAAGAGAGAAAGAGGAAGGGGTGTGGGGAGAATCCCACAATCCCTTTCAAGGGCCCACCTCAAGACCTCAGTACCTCCTACAAAGTCTCACCTCCTAAAAGTTCCAGCACCTCCCAGTAGCACCAACTAAGGCTTTGACACGTGGACCTCCGGGGGACTTTCAGCATGCAAACCACAGCACTTTGGTGGAGTCCTAGGTGAAGTCTAATGATCCTACTGGGGTTGGTGAGAGGGTTCTAGTTCCATGTAAAAGGCAAACGCTTCAGAATGGAGCACAGAGGGCAGAGCACAAGGGCCTTTTCTGTTTTTATTTTGTTCTCATGCCGAGGGAGTGGAACAGGCAGTACATGGACCCAGAGGCACCCAGGGCCTTCTCAGTGTTCCCGGGAGTCCTCAGGCAACTTCCAGAACCAGATTATTAACTTGCAACTTTGTAGCTTGAAGCCAGCAATGACTTTCTGGCTGGTTTTAGTTGAACTTTGGAGAATAGTTGAAGAAGGTATAAATGGGAGCAAACACAAGGGTAAATGGACATTCGTTTATCTTTCTTATTTACAGTTATCCTATTACAACAGCAGTGAGCTCAACACCAGCTCTTGTCAAATGGCTTTCCTTATCTTTGCAAATCTTCACAGTACTGGGACAAGCTGGGTAGTGTTCATCCTCATTTTACAGATGAGAACCATGAGATGTTAGGATGACTAACAAGTCACAAGTTAGGTGGACTGGGATGTAGCCAGTATGGTCCTAAAGTCCTTTGCTCTTTTTGTTATGCCATGTGACTTCCTGATATCTAATTTAATCTGTGTACATTTTCAGGGTTCTTTAGCTTTTTAAAGTCAATTTTATTTTGTTGGGACTTGGAACGAGAATTTGTAATCAAAACCAAAGTTGCTATATATTTTTTAAACTTCTCTGATTTGTCTACTTGCAAAATGTTTGCGTAGATCAAAATCCTTATAAGCTTATGTCAGTCTTCTAGAGGAAAATATGTTACAGAATTAACTATAAACTATTCTCCTTTTTTTTTTCCCTGTAGGGTGTAGAGCCTGTAAAAAAAGGAGAAGTCTTTGAGGTCTTTAGTTTTTATTTCATAATTTTGATTTGTGTATTGAACATGCAAGGGGCTGCGGATGTGGCTCAAGCAGTAGCGCGCTCGCCTGGCATGCATGTGGCCCGGGTTCGATCCTCAGCACCACATACCAACAAAGATGTTGTGTCCGCAGAGAACTAAAAAATAAATATTAAAAATTCTCTCTCTCTCACTCTCTCTCCTCTCTCACTCTCTCTTTTTTTTTTAAAAAAAAAGAACATGCAAACATTTTAATCATGCTTGAAATTTTGCTTAAGATGCAACCTAAAGTATTGTGTAGCAGGAAGCAAGGTCTTGATTTTATCACACAAACGTGAATTTAATAGCTGGTGACAGTACACTTGGGCTTGGGGGACACAGCCAGGTCCCTTGGGTGAGGTGCCCACGTGAGCCTCCCTCTGTTGGAGGCGTTGGCAGGCTCCTCTGTGATGAATCAAACCATTCTTCTATAGCTGTCCAGCATTGTGCCTCACCACGCTGTACTCAAGAGCCATTTAAACTTCCCAGGCTGGCAGTGAGCTCATTTAGTGCACTTACCAAGGTACGGATACTTACTTTCTCCCTTTCTCTCCTTTTCTATCCCACAGATGAACACAATGATGTGCAGAAGAAAACCTTTACCAAATGGATAAATGCTCGATTTTCAAAGGTAAGTGAGACTTGCACAAACATTCTGGTGTTTCAGATGCCTCATTCGGATGGAGGAGTTYGGTTGGAAGTCCAGTGGATTTTCCCCATGAAATGTGACCTAGCAGGAATCTCTTGAGTGTGTAGATGCATTTTTTTCTTCCTTTATTCTCTTCTAAAGTCTGTTCAAAGGGGAAATCTGCTCTGAATAGTTCATGCAATGCTCTTTATTTTTACCTGTTGTTCTCCAGATTTCTAAGAAAGTTTGCTGCTTTCAGTTCTGTGAATTTTGGGTACATTTAGGAAGAGGATATATAGTAGTGGGAAAATCTTGGGTTCATTTAGCTAAAAAATTATGGTGGTTTCATTTTGCCTGGTTAAAATCAATCTATATTATTTAGGCAGTTTTCTGCCTAAATGGACAAGAATGAACAAATACTAAATACCAGTTGGTCATTAATGTTTATCTATCCCGTGGGTTCTTTTCTTGTATCCTTCCTCATTTTTTTTCTCCCAAAGATCTGTTCTTTCTCAGCATTTCTAACTTCTTGGAACATGATCTGGGCTTTGATTAATGTTGTCTTTAGGGGCAGAGAATGAAGTAGTGAGGAATTGGCAATGATCTTTTCAAATTTGTTTCAAATGTGGTTCTCTATTGATTACAGAAGTTGGGATTTTGTCCACCAAGTCTAAGGTGGGCTGTCTCCAGGTTAAGTCATTGTAGGACTCTGTTTTAGCAAGATGAAAAATAAAGGTTTCTCAGAGAAGCACTAAAGTGGTCTTTTAAATTGTATGAAGCCTATTTCAATTAAAAGTAGTTTTTCAAAATTTTCTGCTTAATACATTTATGAAGGTCAGGAAAATAAACCTCTGTGTTTCTTTGAGGTAAAATAAGGATATTTTAAGGGTAACTGAAGTAGCAGCAGTTTAAAAATTGCATCACATCCCTTGAGCTGTGTGTGTTGGTATGCTCTTGTAGTTCCAGAGTTTGAGGCCAGCCTGGGCAATGGAGGGAGAACCCACTTCTTTAAAAAAAATTGTTCAACATCCTAGTATTTATGGCTGATTTCTTGATTGTGTGTTTCTTAGGTTTTGCAAGTTTTTCTTTCTTTCTTTTTCTTTTTCTTTTTTTTTTTTTTTGAGGGATATCTTATCTTGCCTAGGAGAATGTGAGGAATGTGAAAACTGACTTTGATGGATGAATTAAGAGTATAGTGATTACAGAGGGGCTCATCTAATCAGTGATTACATGTCTGGGATTATGCCACAGCAGAGGGATTTTTTTTTTTTTTGGTAAAATTTAGATTCTAAAGACACAAGTAACAGAGATGTTTAGAATTTGACAACATTGAAAATTTTTTTTATCTGCACGAGAGTACATTTTGAGCATCTTAGTTTCAGCAATTCAGAGAGCCTGAATCTGAGGAGATTTCCCCCAGTGATCCCCTGAGTGCCCWTGCGGGTAGGATTGCTTTTGTACTTATTTTTGAGACTGAAGAGAAGCAGACAGTTCAATYAAACATGGAAGGGTGTGTGTAACGTGATGCATATGACAGTTGAGAATAAATGATGGAAAAAAAACCTTTCTTAGTGTTTGTGATAGGCCATTGACACCTTCGGAGATACACAATGGTTTATTAAATGAACTTGATGTTTAAATCTGTTCATTTGTCATATAGGTATATTATTTTGTGATATAAATGGAGGCTTTAACCCCATGTGAGTTATTTGTCCCAGGACGGTTATAATTCTTTCGAATTTGTATCATTTTTACTAAATGTGCTAGCTATGGAATCTGACAGAGGGGCAGAAACCTWGTTTTATATGGAGAAAAAGTATCAAGTGGGATGACCTTGAAAACTTCAGATTATGTCTAGTAAGAAGTCAAAGTCTGGGAGGAATTTATCTAAGAAATTAGGAGGATTTGGATCTACCAAGATGGAGGGCTTGTGACAGTAACACTGAACTTCATCCCCTCTTTTCCTTCCCTCTGGCTGTCTTCAATCCACCACTCCGCCTTCTTCCACACTGGGGACACAGGACAGGGCCTGTCACATTCTAGGCTGGGAGGTTTCCAGGGACTTTGTGCGCCTTCACCCTTGCTGAGATAGGGCAAGGCTGCATTTTCCCATGGTATCATTAGGTCATCTAGAGGCTGGCAAAAGAAAAAAATTCTGTTGAGGGTACTGAATTTTGTTTCATTTATTTTTTTCTTGATATCCTAGGGTACACTGTGCTTGATTTCCAAATATATTTTTTTTCCTAGGGTCTGCTCCTTCCCTACAGTATGTGCCTCTGTGCTGAGAAATCCAGACATGCATCAATGGCATCTTCTGCCATTTAGAAATTTGTTTTAAAACAGACATCTCTGTTGTCTCTGAGAATGAAAGGAATGTGAAAACCTACTTTTATCATGGGTCACTAACATCTTCAAAACCAAGTAATACAAAATCCAGTAGTACCACAACAGTTTATTAAATGAACTTGAAATATAAATTTGTGCATTTGTAATCTATCTATTATTTTGTAATAATCCAAACAGACACTGATGGCATTATCTGTCATTCAGAAATTTGTCTTTTTTTTTTTTTTTTTTTTTGGTGCTGGGATTGAACTCAGGGGCACTCGACCACTGAGCCACATCCCTAGCCCTATTTTGTATTTTATTTAGCGACTGAGTTATTTAGTGCCTTGCTTTTTCTGAGGCTGGCTTTGGACTCGAAATCCTCCTGTCTTAGCTTCCCCAGCTGCTGGGATTACAGGTGTGTGCCACCATGGCTGGCTAGACATTTCCTTTCTAGTCCTCTCTGCATCCAAAGTCTCAATTAAACACCAAATTTTGTTAATTTCAGCATTTTTTTTTTTTTTTTTTGGTACTGGGAGTCGAACTGAGGGACACTTAACCACTGTGCCATAGCCCCAGCCCTTAAAAAAAAAATTATTTAAAGACAGGATTTTTTTTTTCCTCTTGCTGATTGGACTTTTTTATTTACTTACTTATTTAATTATTTATTTTATTGATTTAAAAAAAATAAATGATAGCAGAATGCATTACAATTGTTATTACACATATAGATACAGTACAATTTTTCATATCTCTGGTTGTATATAAAGTTATGTTGTCACCATTTGTGACAGGGTCTTACTGCATTGCTTAGGCCTTGCCAAGTTGCCGAGGCTGGCTTTGAGCTCTCGATTCTCCTACCTCTGCCTCTCCAGCCTCTGGGGTTACAGGTGTGCACACCACSATGCCTGGGAACCTCTCTCCATCTTTACTGACACTTCCTTTTCGATGTTGCTATTATCTTCAATAGAAAAATTTATGAATGACTGTATATGGGCAAAAACGATTAGTGGTTATCCTGTCTGACTGAGCCATCTGAGTTATCTCTGCCTTTCATTGTTTTTGAACAACGTCACAACTCGGTAGATTGTAGAAAATAGATACTAATGCAGAAGATTCTTATCCATATAATGCAAGGTGGCTGAAATGCAAATGATTATTGCCCCTTGGATAGACCAGTTTTTGCATCTTTTGTAAATTTATTTCAGTTTTCCTTTTTTGACTGGGTACATGTGGTCCTTTGAGTTGTCCTTGAACTGTTGATAACACCTTAGTGGTTTCCTCCTTGATTAATGAGTTAAGTAATGTCTTTGACATAGGCTGATGTTACACTTTTTGGAGAGCTATGACTTGACCTTTTTTGGAAAATTATCTTCAAACCCTCAGACCACACTGTGATCATCTGCTAACTAGTTCTTCCTTTCCACATTTTACCTTTTCATCCTCCTTTTCTAGTTTAGGCAGAGTAGTTGGAGTGATCTCAAAGGGAAAAGCTAATCACCTCTTTTTCTTCTGCAGGATCTTTCATTGCCTGCTCATTGTTCTTCTTTTAGAAAGAAACTTTGAAAGCTGAAATTGTATGTACTTAAGTGTGATGTCTTCATCTTCATTGGCTGTTAATGCCCTAAATACATGCCTGATCTACACCTGACTTGATTTTGCTTTATTCTTGCTCCTTCATGATATGTTCGCACATGATCTGTGCTGCAACCCGAGGACCATCCCTGGCCTTTGAGCATGCTTCTTCCTCCAACTTCCTCTTTTCTTGGCCAACTCCTGGTCCTTCTTTTTGCCTAAGCTTAAATGTCACTTCCTCAAGGATATCTTTTCTGAGCTCACACACTGGTAGATAATGCTCAGGACTCTCAGAGTGTTATCCTTTGATGCACTTAATAGTTATAATTTAAATAATTGCAGGTTTCTTCCCCCAGAAAGTGGGACTGTTTTGTTTATTGGTATAACTTTTGGTATTTAGTAAATACCCAGTGAGTATTTAGTATTTATCARCTTAATAAATCAATGAGTGACATTGACATAAACATACATTTAAAATGTCTAGTAATATATAAACCACCTGAGGATGGTTGTATTGGAAAGAGACAGAATTTGTTAAGTAACTGGATTTAATATGTGCCATTCTTTTTCAGTTAGGTATGATTCTTCGCTACCTAGTAAATTCACAGTAAAAAAAAAAAAATGAGGATTAAAGCTTAACAACTGGATTAGTTCATCCTTTCATAAAAGATTTGAAAAAGGCCTTGAGAATATTGAATAATATAGGTCTAACATCATCTTTTGATTTTTAGCAGTATCTGGATTCCCATCTGTAGAAATTCAAATCCTCATTAATATGTCACAGATTGCATATCACAATGCACTGGAGTGCATTCAAACTCACGATGCTTCAGAGTTTGAATTTCCTGGGAAGTAGTACAGAATAGAGTAAATTATGGTTTGGGGAGTTTGAAAAGTCATGAAGAACTCAGAAGAAAATTATTATTTAAAGAAGAAAAGAGTTAGGAAATTTAACCCTTATTTGTGGACATGCTGCTCATTTATTTATGGCCTCAAGCTAAATGTTAGCCACATTTTTCAGGTCTTTATTTTTATTCTTTTAGCCATAAAACACACATGGTCATTAATTACCTACTCATATTGCCAAGAAATATTGGGCATTG